GTGAGCACGTTTCTCTCACTCAGCCCTCCAGGGTAATTTCTGATGGGCTTGACAGTTTCCTGTATCAGAACCAAAGGCAAGACCCCATCTTTCTGCTGAAGCTGTCTCTCTGCTTCAAGCACAGGGGAAGCATATGAAACTCTCTCACAGATCATTCTTTCTTCATATTTGTTTCTCTTCAGGGAACAGTTACACATTGCTTCCCACCCTTGCCTCACATCCTCTCTCTGTACACCTCAGCCCACCTCTCTGGACAGAGCCGCTTCCCAACTGTCTCTTAGATTCTCCACAGCCTCCACATTCCAATGGCCCAACTGTCATCCAGGTCAATTCTTCCCTATGAGACCGCCACAGCAGCTAATCTGCCATTTCCTCTGCTATTGACTTGAATAATATAACACATGACAATTTAAAAATTCATATATGCCCAGAATATAGCCATGGGATACCTTTCTTTCAGAGGGAAGGTTGTGATGAGAAAAGTTATTGATAAAGGAAGGACTTTTGTGTTCAGCTTCAAGATGGCTGCTTGATCACCGTCTCCTAGTTTTCATGTCTTTATGTAGTTTCTTGCCACACTGTTTCAAGGTTAGTCTGTGTGACCATGAAATATGGCAGAAGTGATGGCATACCACATGCAAGGTTAGATTATAGATGCTAGTGGGACCTTGGCCCACAACATCCCCTGGAAAAATGGCTATGAGGGGCAGAGACACCAATTTTGTAAGGTCTCTCGGGCACCCTATGAGGTGAGGAAGAGCTGAGTTGTTCTGTAGAAAACCAAGTCTCATCAACCATATTGCTTGAAAGAAGATCCCCTACCTAGGTCAAGCCATTAGCTGACTACATTCCTGGAAGTAATATGACCCAGCCTCATGAGACCCTGAGGCAGACTCACTGAGTTCAGTTGCTCATGGCTTCCTGGCCCTCACAAACCATGTGAAATAGGTGTTTTCTACTTTAAACACAAGATTAGGGGGTAACCTGTCATGCATCAATAGATAACTAATACAGAAAACATAGTTCATTTGTTTATTTCAGCATTTAATACACAAGTCATATGAGCTGCTGTTTGGGTCAGGTCGTACTCTAGATGGAGGAGTGAACAAAACAAGACTCCTTGCTATCACAGAGTTTTTACCCTAGATGTGTTGGATGGTGATTAATATTATGCAGAAAAATCAGTGTGCTACTAAGGAAGGGATCTTTTGGCATGAAAGTGATATAAACAAGAGTAACCAAATGTCATGAGCACATAGGAAAGGCTTTATTGGGATTTCGCCTTGAGCTGCATGACTTCAGTGGCTGAAGAGAGCCAGCACTGACTGAGAAGCAAAATGCCCTCTCTCTAGAGGGGAAAACAATTTCCATAGTGAGGAGCATGGTTCCAAAAGGTGTTTTACTACTGCACAAGACTCAGTCCAATGAGTAGTGACTATCAACTTGTCCTAAGATTATTTGAGTTCTTGTGGCTGGCACTTTCATCCCATGCAAACATCCCAGACTTATGGCCTTGGCCCTGGATAAAGCTAAGAGACCTTAGGTGCTGTAGTTGCTGAAGGAGCACGAGAGTAGGGGTAGGATGGGGGTCAGAGAGACGGCTCAGTAGAATAAGCGCTTCCCTGGCAAGCACAAGGGTCTGAGTTCAATCTCCGGTTCAAAAGAAAAAAGAGTAGGGATAGGAAAAAGAAGAGAGAAAGAAAAAGAAAACACACAGCAAAGGGCACTCAACATGTCTATGTAAAGAACCCAGTAGAAGCTTACTGCTGCATCTCACACAGCTCTCAAAGTTTCCAGGGGGAGGATGGTGAGAAGATGGAGAAATAAAAATAAGAGTCAGGAAGCTGAGATCAGGTAGAGTCCTCTCTCTGGCTGGGAGGATTGTTGTGAGTTTGAGATTAGCCTGGGCTACAAAGTGAGCTCAAGGCCAGCCTGAACTGCATAGTGAGACCCTGTCTCAAAAAAAAAACTCTGAAAGGTACAATAGATACTGGGAAAGAAAACTGTTCAAAGGGAAAGAATAACTGAGATGAGGGAAAGAAGAAAAGAAAAAAGAAGGAAGATGAAATACGTATATAATACATGATATATATGTTATATATATATATCATATATAATATATGTTATATATATTAGCTTGGATAATTACTCTACTGCTGATTTCTCCTGGTCTATTAAAAGGAGCAGTTAATACAATTCAATATTTTGTGTAGAAGAAAAACCCATATTCTGTATTCAGTAAGAAGAAGCTGTAACATAACCTTCCCTGCCTGAAGAGGAGCCACCTATGCAAACAGAGACACCTCCAATTATGGGAACTGAGATTATTTTTGAAAGAAAGACAAAAGATGTGAAGGAAGCAAATTCATTAGTTTGTCTGGAGGATGAAGGCAACTACACTAGGGAAGTTAGCTAATGTGGCTTGCCAGGAAGATGAACATTACCATAACCATTGTTGTTGAAGAAAAGAAAAGGGAACACTAACATTTTTGCACCTCATGTCCCGAAAGTTGTATAGCATGCATCCGCCAACATGCAGTCAGTCCTGCCACAGCATCATAAAAGGGTGTAATGGTTTTATGTAGAGTATGTGGCATATGTAGCCATTGTAGAGGGCCCTGAGACTGCCAAAGAACCCCAATGGACATATGTTGAATTTGAAAAATAATTAGAAACACTGACAAAGATAGGTCAACTCTGGAGAGTTGAGCATTAGAGAGAACCAGCTTAACCTTGTGCAAGGCAGTTTTAGCCTCTGATGTAAGTATTTTGGAGAGGTGGGGGCTGGGTCCCCCTTGAGAATGTCAAAGACAGAAACTAAATCATGAGTTGTTAGCTTAACAGCTAGGCAGAGTCACTTAATATTACCAAGTAAAGTCTGAAAACCAGGGTTGCAAGATGATTAACCTGGATCTAAACAGTTCAGTGTACAACATGTATTTGTTTGATAATATGAAACAGGTTCCATGTTTTGCACTTTTTCAGAGGTCAGCACTATGCCTGCACTATTCAGGGCATTTTCTAATTGAACAAATACTTAGGGCAAGGTGGATGAGGATTCATGTTCTAGAAAAATGTCATCCATGTAATAGATAAGGTACTCAGATGGATGAGGATGGCAGACTGACATAATAGCTGCAGTTACAAACTCTTAATGTAGGGTCAACTATTTGTCATTCTCCGTGGCAGACAACACCATTGGAAATGACACATAGGGGCCTGATGATTAATAGAAGGTAAACTAAAGGCAAAATGTTTTTATCTTGAGGCTAGAGAAGAATATTAAAAAAGTCATCATAAGGAAAATATGTAAAGGAATAGTTACACGACTGGGAAATTCTGGTTCAAGTGCTTCTATACATTTCATCATGTGATTTACAGCCTGAAAATTCTGTAGTAATCTCCATTACAAAAATTGGGGTATCCCAAGGGCTTTTGGAGGATTTTATGTACCCTACCATCATCTGCTCATTAATCAGTGTATGAGGTGCTGTAAGCTTCTCCTGAGGGGCCATTGATCAACCCAAACAAGGTCATCAGATATCCAAGTATCCAGAGAAGAGATCAAGGCCCCTTCTAACTGTGAAGGCAAGCAGCCTATATCAAAATAGTCCTTTCTAGAAATAACTGGAGGAGGTTCTTTCCTTCCTTGCTTGTTCTGACCAAGCCTTTGAGTGAGAAGGAAATCTTGTTGCAACATCTGATGAGTCACCAAAGAGTTTGGGCTGAGCAAAAAATGCCCCCATCTACCATAATACATCACAACCCCATAGACTGACTGGTATATGGGGGAGGACATGAAGTGAAATATGTGTAGAATGGCCTTCTGCATCCTTCCAAGTTAACCATGTAGCACTTCTACTAGGGAACTTTGCCCTCCAGCTCTGCATTTGCCACCTCCGGAGGCTTTGCCATAGTTATGGTGTCAGGCAATAACTGAAACATCCACACCTGTGTCTAGAAGCCCTTTAAATGCCTTTCCTACAATAATCAATTCCATCTCAGGACAATCTTGTTTAATCTGTTGAACTCAATACATATCAGAGGACCCAAAACCCTTGGATACCCTTTCCCAATTTTTGTCAAGGGAAGAAAGACCAATTGAGTAATATGAATCTGGTGTGACTTGATTCATCAATAACCTTGCTTTCTCCTGTCTCATCAGCACTGATGACACCTGGAGACCTTTTAAAGTGAGAATTCTGTGGCCTACCAGGATACTCACTGTTACATGAGGCAAAGGTCCATATACTCCAATAGGAATAGCTTGGGTATCATTTTGGGAATTAGTATGAATCTGGAGGAGGGACTGAGGTCTAAGGCTCTGCTGTCTTTTATCACTCACCAGAGGTCAGAAATCTGCTTGGTGTTGGAGGGTAGGACTGGGGCGGAATTAGGGAAAGTGTCTCCACTGTTTGGCAGGGCCAGAGCAGAGCCTGTGGGGAGTTTCCCAAAATAGGTCAGCATTTCACATGAGTTTTAGATCTACACTCACTTGCCCAATGATACCCTCATCTGTACCTTGTACAGACACCAGGTTTTGTTAAAGGAACAGGTAACAGCCGTGCTGCCCTGACAGGTGCAGCAGAACTATTTCAGGCAAAATATCCTCTGCTTCTACAGCTGAAAGAAGCAACTCTCTTCCCTTCCCTTTCTCTAGGCTGTAGATGAATAACCTCAGTGATAGCTGCAGTTAAGGCAGCCCCCAGTACATAGGAGAGGCCAATGTCTGCACAAATACTAATCATCTCAGTCAGTATAGACCCCATTTTTTTTGTGGGCTCTCAAAGCCTCCTTACACCATTTGTTTGCACTTTTAAAGACCAACTGTTGAACTATTAGCTTGCTAACCTCTGTATTACCAATCATCTTCCACTAGCCTGTAACTTGTGTGCTGCAAAATTTGGAAAAGTTTCATCAGGACCCTTACAAATGTCAGTCAAATCAAGGGATGTCTCACCTATTGAAAGAAACCCCCTTCAAGCCCTTGTGACATTTACTTTAATCTTCTTATATACTTACAATTCAAAAGCAAGTTGATTATTTGTTGTAGCAAAGGCACCCTCTCCTATTAATATGTCCTTTATAATGGCTATATCATGAGCAGTATTGTATGCAGCCTGATCCCTCCACAACTCAACAAATTTTCTTTTTCACAACAAATAATCCCCTGGATTTAACTATGCTTTGGTTACTCCTTTCCAATCCTTTGAGACCATAATCTCTTGCTTTAAGAGCTCCATTAAACCTAGGGCAAAAGGGGCTATGGGACCATAGGTTGTCCCGAACCAGCGGGTCAGTCAACGAAGGTCACCTGGGAAAGGAGCGGGGAATAGAGCAGGGGACAAAGGACAGGAGATGAAAGAAATGGAGACAAGATAGGATTCTGATCAAGTCTCGTTTATTCAAAGGAAACTCTGGGTATATATAGTGGAGGCATAGGGAAATGACGTCTGTGGGTAAAAGGCAAGTAACTAGGCAACCGGGCTATGACAGGAAGTCCCACCTCTGGGGCATAGCAGACTTATGGGAAGTAGGTGGGGTAAGAAGAATTAGGAGCTTAGCTCAGCAGAGGTAGGGGAAGAGGAAGTTAGCATCGCTAATGACGCTGATGCACCAAGAGAATTTTATAGGTCAGAGGCACTCAGGTGACCATTAAGAGTCATGAGGTGGCAGTTTCACAGGACCCCGGAAACCCACTTGCAATAGGATTGGAGGCCTGGAGTTATTGAACCTCCCACAATAGGTAATGGCAGATATTTATTTATTTAGTTAGTTAGTTTGTTTATATTTTTTTAGGGAGGGGTCTACAGGATGTTCAGGGTCTCACTATTAGATCAGACTTGTAGTGATCCACCTGTTTACAGCCTCCCAAGAGCTGGGATTACAGGTGCACACCATCACGCCCAGTCTCAATTGTGTTCTCAGCATACCCCAGGGACGGAGACAGGGCTGGCACAGACCCCAGGGATTAAAGCTTGTAGGTGCTTTAATCAATGGCAGCTTTTTAAAATTCCTTTAGGAGGGCTGGCCAAATAGCTCAGGGGATTAAAATGCCTGCAAGCAGGCACAGGGGCCAAGGGTTTGATCCCTGGACCTGCTGTGCTGGCCCCACCCCTGAGGTGGGCTGAGATGACAATTGAGACTGGGCGTGGTGGTGCACACCTGAATACCAGCTCTTAGGAGGCTGTACAGAGTCAGATCACTATGAGCCTGATTTAGTAGTGAGACCCTAAACACCCTGTAGACTCTTCCCTAAAATACAGAAAAATAAAATAAAATAAAATTTCCCGGGGGTCTTGAAGCTTTATGATACATGTAATTTGTTGCAGGTTGTTGGGAGCTCAAAGTTCAATAGCAGGGATGAAATTTGGAAACTCTCCATAGGCTCCCCCACCCATCTGGCTTCCTTTAAGGAGAGAGAGAGAGAGAGAGAGAGAGAGAGAGAGAGAGAGAGAGAGAGTCTGTCCAATCTTAGAGAGGAGAAAGTTCCATCCTGTGGTGCTGCAAAACTTCTCTGAGCTGAAAAGGCAGAAATCTTCATCTGTGTCTCAACTTAATACAGTGGATATTGTAAAATAGAATTTGCCACAAAACACTCCTCCAATGAAGAAGGATTCTCTTCCCCACCACCACTCCTTCCTTGTCTAATTGAACAAAGTCAGAGGGTTTAAGCTCTGTGCGGTGGGGAGAGATTCTGTTCTGCCATCTTTTTCTACTTAGGACTTGGCCTTAACGCGGTACTTCCAGCCAAGTCTTTGGTAGTCATCTCAACAAGTGTATGACCATTAAAACACCCCTTAATGTAAATCCACAAAAGTAAATATAGCAATCAAGAATACAGTCAACAGTTCCATATACATTTGTGGTGCATAATGAGCTTTTTGCCCCAGGTTCAGCCACGAATAAAAATCAAGACACCTCTCTCCCTTTTGCTTCTCATGCGTTTATCTCTCTGGCCCTAGTGAACCTGTTTTATTATTTGCCCCAAAGTTTTGCACCTGATGATGTCAGTATCAATACAACTCTGATGTATATTGCTGCCACCAATGCACTTCTTCCCCTATTGTACGCACAATAGGAAGTGTTCCCTCATTCACTATTTCTTCTTACCCTGGTCTGTGTTCAGGCCCCATATGCTGCATCCCATGAAGTTTTCAAAGTTTCCAGGGGAAAGAGGGTGAGAGGATGGAGAAATAAAGCTAATAGACAGAAAGCTGAGGTCAGGTGGAGTCTTCTCTATGGCTGAGAGGAAAGAGACTGGACAAGGACTGCAAAGCAGTTATTTATACGCTCGGGAGGTTGATGTCAATTTCAACCTCTCTGCCTAGCAACTTTATGTGGTTCGCCCGAACACCTCACAGTCTCGGAACTGGAGCAACTTATTTTTGTGGCTTTTGTAGGGAGCTCTTTGTTCTCAGGTTGGCCTTGCCTCACCCTTGTAATTTTCTGCCTCAGTTGCTCCCTACAGCTTGCCCAAAGGTTAAGGCAGCAAAGGGGACAAACCCAATATGAAGGCAGAGATGCCAAGCCTGTTATCCTGCTCCAGTCACCCAGCAGACAGCTGAAGGTTCAAGTGAGGAGTCAGTACACTCAGTAAAATCAGCCTTCAGGTCTCTGGAAAGTAACCTAGGCAACTGTTATTGCATTGCACCTATCCAAGATAGTATGTGCAGCGCAGCTAATAGGAGACTAACAAGGCACTGTCCAGATCTCCAACATTAGTGAACTTTATTTGTTTTAGAGTCCCAACCTTATTTTATCCTACAAAGTTAGCAACTGCCCTGGCACATTTATTAATGAGATAATAATTAACCTAGTAATCTGTGATACCATCTGTCATTAATCACTTTTCATATATAAGTGGATCTATTTATATCCGTTTATCTCCTATTCTACTGGGCTATGTGTATACTCAGGGCCAATGCCATACTGGTTTAATTGCCATTGCTTTATAAATATATTTTGTTATCTGGTAGGGACAGTCTCCCATCTATGTCTTAATTTTCAGAATCAACTTGAATTTCACTAAAGAATTTGAGATTTCAGTGAAAGAAGTTATAAACATATTCTTTATAATAGCATACTAAGTCTTCCTAGCCATCAATGTACAGGTCTTCATTTATGAAAAGTTTAATAATTTCAGTAAAGATTTATAGTTTTCTCCATTAAGGTCATGAACTTCTTCATAGATTTGGTACAAAGATCTCTCTCTCTCTCTCTCTCTCTCTCTCTCTCTCTCTCTCTCTCTCTCTCTCACGCAGTACCAGGAATGAACTCAGGACCATGTGCTAG